CCCAACCCCAGCACTTTCCCTGAGGTCTCTGCCTCAGTGGTTGGTGTTGGCAGAGCCCGGGGCGACGGTAGGGGGCTAGTTCCAGCCACTGGAGAAAGTCTCTCCCCTTGGCTGGGCACAGAAGGAGCTTTAACGAAGGTCTCTCCATGGCACAGACCCTGCTGGGGCAGAGGAGCTGCTCGGCCCAGCGTTCCCAGATCACACTGGAGGCAGCAGCGTGTGACCCAAGAAACTCAAACCCGACACCCTGAGTGGAAAGTGAGAGAGAGCAGCCTCCCCTCCATCAGCAACAGCCAGCGCCCCGTTACAGTAACGAATGACACCACCTCCCTCATCTCATTGGCCCCCATGTTAATCTAGAGTCACGCCTTGTCCTTATTGGAGTCAATAAGACCAGAAATGTGGTATAGGAGGGAGGAGGCCAAAATCCTTGAAAACATGTAATGGGGGATCCCCCCTTTCCCACCACCGCTGCTCCCCACATCTAGGGCAAGGACTCAGGGCGATTTGCCAACCACCGTTTGGGCAGGGCTGGAGGGTTTGGAACATGTGTTAATAACATTCTACAGGGACATCTTACAACTTCACATATAACGTTGCCACACATCGTTTATCAGGACAATAATGGCCAGCAAATTATGAGTTTTCCAATGGTCCCTCACAAGGCATAATTTGTACCATGATTATTGCAATCAGGTGTAGGGTGTGGGCACAGGGCTACGTTCCGTCACACACACACACACACAATCCATTCACACAGGCCCAGGCCAATGCTGCTTTAACAGGAGAAGTGATGGGATGGAGGAGCCAAAAGAGTCAACAAATTCCCATGTCCTGTCCCTGGCAAATAACGATCCCAGGGACCCAGCTCAGCGCCGGGGGAAAGACCCCTCATGGGGACGGTCTGTGCTGGGTTCTGGGCACTTGTCTGGCACAGGCAGTGTCAGCATGTGAGGGGTTAATACAGGAGCGGGAGAGAGGCCTCGGCTGCTCTGGGCACTGCCTGAGGGAGCAGGGACCCGGCCATGCACAG